CGGAGCCTCCCCCTCCCTCTCCCCCTCCCTCTCTCCCTCCCTCCCTCCGCAGATGCCGCTTCCCCGGCGGCCGGGACGGCGGCCCCCGGCACCTGCCCGGTGCTGAGCCCGGGGCTGGGGGGGGTCCGGGGGTCCCCCTGAGCCCCCGGTCATGTTCTCGGTGCAGGAGGCGCTGCCCCGGGGGGGGGTCCCCATGAAGGAGGAGCCGCTGAGCGCGGGGCTCCCCGCCGGCCGCTGGCTGCAGGGCACCGGCATCCTGGACGCCAGCACGGCGGCGCAGAGGTAAGGGGACAGCCTGGGGACAGCTCGGGGACAGCCTGGGGACAGCTTTGGGGCACTCTGGGGACAGCTTTGGGACAGATTTGGGGCACTCTGGGGACAGCCCGGTGGCTCCGGGGGCTGCGGGATGGATGCAACCCGAGCTCCGCGGGCATCCCGAGGTCGGTGGGCATCGCGGGTTCCACGGGAATTCCAGGGGCTGGAGGTGTGCCAGGGGCTGTGGGCATTCCAGGGGCAGTGAGCATTCCAGGGGCAGTGGGCATCCCGGTTTTCGTGGGTATCCCGGGGGTTCTGGGCATTCCAGAGGCTCTGGACATCCTGGGCTCCTCGGGTATCCCAGCTTCCGTGGGTATCCCAGGGCTGTGGATGTGCCAGGCTCCGTGGGCATCCCAGATTCCAGGGGCATCCCAGGCTTTGCCGATATCCCAAATTCCAGGGGCATCTCGGGCTCTGCTGCCCTTCTGGGCACTGCGGGCATTCCATGGGCTGTGGGCATCCTGGGTTCTGGGAGTGTCCTGGGATCCATGGGAATTCTGGGTCCTCTGGGCATCCTGGGCATCAACTGTGGGCATTCCAGGGTATTCCAGGTCCTCTGGGCATCCTGGGCATCAGCTGTGGGCATTCCAGGATATTCCATGCCCCGTGGGCATCCTGGGCACTGTGGGCATTCCTGGTTCCATGGGCATTCCGGTGTCCTGGGTCCCACGGGCATCCCAAGGCGTGCCCCCCATTTTCCCTGGCATTCCTTGGGCCTCTGGATCCCCTATCCCGGTGCCCTGGGCATCCCGGGATCCCTGTGGGTTTCAGCTGCCAGGGGTTTGTGCCAACGGGAATGGGATCTGTGCCCATCCCTGCCTTTTCCAGGGGGCTCAAATCCCATTCCCTGCCCTTTGGGGGACCTCAAATTCCATTCCCTGCCTTACTGGAGGGCTCAAATCCCATTCCTGCCTTTTCCAGGGGGTTTAAATCCCATTCCTGCCTTTTCCAGGGGGTTTAAATCCCATTCCTGCCTTTTCCAGGACTCAAATCCCATTCCCTGCCCTTTTGTGGGGGCTCAAATCCCATTCCCTGCTTTTTCTGGGGTTCTCAAATCCCGTTCCTTGCCGTTTTGGGGGGCTTAAATCCCATTCCCTGCCCTCCTGGGAATTCAAATCCCATTCCCTGCCCTCCCTCAGTGTCCCCTCTCCCCTGTCCCTCTCTCCTGCCTGTGCCCAGAGGGGTCAGTGCCACCCCTGTCCCCTGTCCTGCTGTCCCCTCTGCCGGGTTTGGGGTGTCCCTAAGGGGTCATGGTGTCTCCCTGGGGTCTCCCCGAAACTTTGGGATGCTGGAAAACCTCAGGGAACTCCCCCACACCCTGAAGGGACCCCACCGCGGTGACAGCCACCCCCGGGGGTGACAATGTGACACAGCTGAGGGACAGCAGTGCCAGGCTGGGGTCCCAGGGAGGAGCTGGCCTTGTCCCTGTGTCCCCAAAAACTCCCCGGGACCCCTGCAAGGGGACAGAGGGACACACCCGGGGCTGGCAGAGGTGACAAGGATGTGTCACCGACAGTTTGGGGTGTCCCCTCCCGCCCTCCCTGTGCCACCCTGCTGGCAGTGCCACGCGTGGGGACACCTGGCTGGGGGAGGGGGCCGTGTTACCCCACGAACACCAGCGTCCCCCTCGCGTGTCCCCACGGCCACCGCAGTGTCCCCAAGGGGCTGGCACTGAGTCCCTGCTCTGTGGGGTGGCACCGGGACCCTCCAAACCTCCCGTCCCGCGGTGTCCCCAAAGGCTTGGCACCGAGCTCCGGGGTCCCCCTGCCGGTCCGGGGTGTCCCCGCGGTGTCCCCGCGGTGGGGTGGGGTCCCCACGCCCCCCGACCCCCCGGAGCCGCCTCAGGGCCGTGCCCGGGGCCGCCGCCGCTTTCCTGGAAGCGCCGGGGCCGCGGCTGCTTGGAAATGCTTGATTGCCTTTAATAATTAATTAACGCGGCGGGCGGGGCTGGCAGCGCGGGGGGGACACGGCGGGGGACAGCGGCGACAGCCAGAGCCACCCCCCGCGTGTCACCGAGGCCATTTGGGGGGCGCGGAGGGGAATTTTTGGGGTTGGAGGGAGCGGCGGGCGCTCCTGTCCCGTTGTAGGGGGGGACAGTGAGGGGACAGAGGTGTCCCCGCGGGGGTGGGACCCTGAGAGCAAAGCCACCAGCGCGGGGAGGGGACAAGGGACACTCCGCGGTGTCCACGGCAGCTGTGGGGACATGATGTGACCCGTTTGTGGTGGCCGCGCGCAGGTATTGTCACCTCGCCAGGTGTGGCCCCACGGGTGTCCCTGGGGACAATTTGGAACCCCGCGGGTGTCCCCGGGGACAATTTGGGACCCCGCGAGTGACCCTGGGGACAGTTTGGGACCCCGGGGAGCAGCTGAGGGAGCTTGTCCTCGGAGAAATGTCCCCAGAGTGTCGCCAAGGTCCCCAGGGGCTGGGTTCACGTGTGGCCCCGGCTCTGGCGGGGGTGACACCGAGGGGACAGGGGCCACCAGCGGGGTGGCGACACGGTGACAGTGACGGGGACTGTGCTGGAGCCATCGTCCCTGAAGTGGCTGTGCTGTCGCCGTCCTGTCACCGCGGGTGTCGGGGCAGGGACAGCAGCGGGTGACAGCGGCGGGCCCAGAGGTGGCGCTGAGGGATGGCAGCGCGGGTGGCTTGGGCGGGGAGGGCTCAGGGATGTCCTCCCTGTCCCCTTCTGTCCCCTCGTGTCCCCGATGCCAGGGGCAGGATGTCCCCATGTGTGTCCCCTACCCTGGACAGGGAGGGGGTGCTGGGTGTCCCCCTCGTGGGGTGCTGGGGACAGGCTGGTGGCCCTGGGGACAGGCTGGGGGCCCTGGGGACAGGATGCTGTAGATTTTGGGGGTCCCAGGCCAGGGTGCTGGGGGTCCTAAGGACTGGATTTTGGGATTTTGGGATTCTGGGAGGGGCGCTGGGGTGTCCCGGTGCTGAGTTTTTGGGTGTCCCAATATTGGGGTGCTGGGGGTCCCCGGGATGGGGCGCTGGCGTCCCGTGGAGGAGGTTTTGGGGGGTCCCCGGGAGGGGGTGCTGCTGTTCTGGTGTCACATGGAGAAGATTTTGGGGGTCCCGGTGCTGAATTCCGGGTGTCCTGGTAATGGGGTGCTGGAGGCTCCTCGTTTTGGGGGTACCCAAAATTGGGGTTCTTGGGGATGAGAATCCTGGTAATGGGGTGCTGGGCGTGCTGGTGTCCCGTGGAGGAGGTTTTGGGGTTCCTGGTGATGGGGGTCCCCTGGATGGGGAGCTGGGGGTGCCGGTACTGGGGGTACCCAGGATTGGGGTTCTCGAGGATGGGGATCCCCAGGATGGGGATTTGGGGGTGCTGGTGACCCATGGAGGAGGTTTTGGGGTTCCTGGTAATGGGAGTCTCCAGAATTTGGGTTCTCAGAGGTGGGGGTCCTGGGGATGGGGTGCTGGGGGTCCCGGGATGGGGTGCTGGGGGCCCCAGTGCTGGGGGTCCCCAGGATTGGGAGCTGGAGGTCACATGGAGGAGGTTTTGGGGTTCCTGGTAATGGGGTGCTGCGGGTCCCCATGCCAGAGTGTTGGGGGTTCCCAATGTTGGGGGTGCCAAGGATTGGGGTTCTCGAGGATGGGGATCACCCGGAACAGGGAGCTGGGGGTCCCAGTACTGGGGGTCCCCAGCATTGGGGTGCTGGGGGTTCCAGTGCTGGGGGTCCCCAGGATGGGGTGCTGGGGATCCCCAGGTCTCGGGTTCCTGGAGATGGGGTGCTGGGGGTCCCCGAGATGAGGCACTGAGGGTCCCAGTCCTGGGGGGTCCCCCGGATGGGGTATTGGGGGTTCCGGTGCTGGGGGTTCCCAGGATTTGGGTTCTTAAGGATGGGGATCCTGAGGAGGGGGTGCTGGGGGTCCCCGGGATGGGACACTGAGGGTCCCCGTCCGGGGGGTCTGCCAGACGGGGTTTGGGGGGTTCCTGGTGCTGCGGTTCCCCAGGATTTGTTTTTTTCGGGGATGAGGATCCCCAGGATTGGGGTTCCCCTTGCTGGGGGTCCCCAGGATTTGGGTTCCCCTTGCTGGGGGTCCCCAGGATTTGGGTTCCCGGTGCTGGGGGTCCCCAGGATTTGGGTTCTCGTGGATGAGGATCCCCAGGACTGGGGTTCCCCTTGCTGGGGATCCCCAGGATTTGGGTTCTCTGGGATGAGGATCCCGAGGACTGGGGTTCACGGGGTTTGGGGTTCACGGGGTTTGGGGTTCTCGGAGTTTGGGGTTCTCAGAGTTGGGGGTTCCCGGGGTTTGGGGTTCCCGGGGTTTGGGGTTCTCAGAGTTTGGGGTTCCCGGGGTTTGGGATTCTCGGGGTTTGGGGTTCCCGGGGTTTGGGGTTCCCGCTGCGGGGGTCCCCGCGCCGCGGTGCCAGGGCGCTGGCGCTGTCCCGGCTGTCCCCACACCGTGGCCTGTCGCAGCGGGGTGTCGCTGGCCCGCGCTCACTTCGAGAAGCAGCCGCCGGCCAACCTGCGCAAGTCCAACTTCTTCCACTTCGTGCTGGCCATGTACGACCGCCAGGGCCAGCCCGTGGAGGTGGAGCGCACCTGCTTCATCGACTTCGTGGAGAAGGAGCGGGTGAGAAACCCCCCAAAAAAACCCCACAAAATCACCCCCCAAAAATCCCTGAAACCACCCCAAAACCCGCGCTCGCAGCGCGTCGGGGCAGCCGCGGTTGAGGCTGGAGCGCGACCCCAAATCGTGGCACGAGTGACCCCAACGCGGGGTGGGGGTGACCGGGAGGGGACAGCGAGTGACCGGCTGACCCCTCGCCATGAATTTTGTCCCCCCCGAACCCCTCCAGGAGCAGAACGGGGAGAAAACCAACAACGGGATCCACTACCGGCTGCAGCTGCTCTACAGCAACGGTGCGGGGGTTTGGGGGGTTCTGGGTGGGGTTTGGGGTGTCCCCAAGGGGAGGTGACAAGCGGGGTGACCCCCCCCGGTGTCCCCGCAGGGCTGCGCACCGAGCAGGATTTGTACGTCCGCCTCATTGACTCCATGTCCAAGCAGGTACCGAGACCCCAAATCCCCCCAAAAATCCCCCAAATCCCCGCGACCCCACCCGCGGGGAACAGCTGGATGTCGCTGCGGCCACATCTGGCCGGGGGCGGGGAGGTGGCGCAGGTGACAGGGCCCGGGAGCGCCTCCCTGGTGCCACCCCGGTGTCGCGGCTGTCCCCTCGGTGTCCCCTCCAGGCCATCATTTACGAGGGGCAGGACAAGAACCCCGAGATGTGCCGGGTGCTGCTGACGCACGAGATCATGTGCAGGTGGGTGGGGACAGCCGGGGGTGACAGGGGTGTCCCCAAGGTCCCTTCGACCCCGTGTTAATTAACGAGCCGAACCAGCGCCGCTAATTAACCCCGCGACAGGGGACAGGCCACCCCCGGCGTCCCCTCGGGGACCCCGCTCGTGGTTGGGGACTGCGGGTGGCCCTGCTGTGTCCCTTGGGGGTGACACGGAGCCCCGGCGTGGGTCCCCAGCCCCTTCAGAGCCCCCCCCCCGGGTGACAGGGTCGGGTCCCCAGCCCCTTCAGAGGCACCCGGAGGTGACACGGAGCACCGAGGGGTGACACGGATGGGCCCCCAGCCCCTTCAGAGCCACCCGAGGGTGACATGGAGTCCCCGGGACCCCCAAATCTGTGTCACTGCCGTGTCCCCCCTGCCGTGTCCCTTCCCTGCTGTCCCCTCTGTCCCCACCCCTGAGTGACAGGGCGGGCCGGGGGTGGGACACGGGGACCTGGCGCGTCCCCCGCTGTGTTTGGGGGTCCCTCAGGCCTCGCCGTCCCCGGATGTCACCTGCTGTCCCCTGATGTCACCTGCTGTCCCCGTGTCCAGCCGCTGCTGTGACAAGAAGAGCTGCGGGAACCGCAACGAGACCCCCTCGGACCCAGAGGCACCCGGAGGTGACACGGAGCACCGAGGGGTGACACGGATGGGCCCCCAGCCCCTTCAGAGCCACCCGAGGGTGACATGGAGTCCCCGGGACCCCCAAATCTGTGTCACTGGAAAAGTGACACCCCCGAGTGTCCCGCCTGCCGTGTCCCCTCCCTGCTGTCCCCTCTGTCCCCACCCCTGAGTGACAGGGCGGGCCGGGGGTGGGACACGGGGACCTGGCGCGTCCCCCGCTGTGTTTGGGGGTCCCTCAGGCCTCGCCGTCCCCGGATGTCACCTGCTGTCCCCTGATGTCACCTGCTGTCCCCGTGTCCAGCCGCTGCTGTGACAAGAAGAGCTGCGGGAACCGCAACGAGACCCCCTCGGACCCCGTCATCATCGACAGGTGCTGGTGACACTGGGGACATCGGGGGACACTGGGGGATTCGGGGGACCTCATGGTGACCTGGAGGGGGTGGCAGCCACCGCGGCTGTCCCCAAGCTTGGGGACGTGCTGCTGCCGAGCCAAGGGACAGCAGAGGGCACTCCGGGTGTCCTCAGGGGGTGACAGCAGTGACAGATGTCACATCAATAATGGAGGTGACACCGGCGCGCTGGGGACATCTCAGGGTGGCCGCGTCCCCGTCCCTGAGGTCTCTCTGTCCCTGTCCCCACCAGGGTCCTCCTGCCTGTCCCGATGTCACCTCCCTGGTGTCCCCAAGCCAAGCCCGGGGTTGTCACTTGTTGTCCCCTTGTCACTGCCACTGTCCCGTGTCCCCTGTCCCGCAGGTGTCCTGGGGCTGTCCCCACGATGGCGCTTTTGGGGTCACAGCACCCCCCTGGGGTTGGTGTCCCCTTGGGAGGTGACACCCCAATGGCTGGTGGCACTGTCCCAAATGTCCCAAGTGTCCCTGCATGCCCCCCTCAGCCTCAGGCCTTTTGGGGGGTCCCCCAGTGCCAGGCGTGTCCCCAACCCGCCCCAGGGCTTTTGGGGTGTCCCCTGTCCCCATCCCCATCACTTTTGGGGGTCACTGACTTCCAGGATTGTCCCCAACTTGTCCCCTCAACCCCAGGACTTTTGGGGTGTCCCCAGTCCCCTCTCCCTTTTCCCAAGACTTTTGGGGGTCACGCAGTTCCAGGAGTGTCCCCAAACCCCCGTCCCCACTCCTGTCACTTTTGGGGAATCACCATTGCCAGGAGTGTCCCCAACCCGCCCCAGGGCTTTTGGGATGTCCCCTGTCCCCATCCCCATCACTTTTGGGGGTCACTGACTTCCAGGATTGTCCCCAACTTGTCCCCTCAACCCCAGGACTTTTGGGGTGTCCCCAGCCCCCTGTTCCCACTCCCAGAACTTTTGGGGGACATGCAGGGTCAGGAGCGTCCCAAACCTGTCCTACCCCAGCCCCAGGACTTTTGGGGTGTCCCCAGTCCCCTCTCCCCACTCCCAGGGTTTTTATTTTTTTGGGGAGGGGTCACTCAGGATCTTTGGGGGGTCAGCCAGCGCCAGGCGTGTCCCCAACCTGCCCCCTCCGTCCCCAGCACTTTTGGGGTGTCCCCAACCTGCTCCAGGACTTTCGGGGTGCCCCCAACCCCTCTCTCCATCCCTTTTTCGAGGTCATGCAGTTCCAGCATGTCCCCAACCTGTCCCCCCCATCCCCAGAACTTTCGGCGTGTCCCCTGTCCCCATTCACAACACTTTCGGGGTGTCCCCAGCCCGCCCCAGGGCTTTTGGGGTGTCTCCACAGCACTTTTAGGGCGTCCCCTGTCCCCATTCACAACACTTTCGGGGTGTCCCCAACCCGCCCCAGGGCTTTTGGGGTGTCCCCTGTCCCCATCCCCATCACTTTTGGGGAGGTCACCCACTTGCAGGAGTGTCCCCAACCTGCCACAGGACTTTTGGGGTGTCCCCTGTCCCCATCACTTTTGGAATGTCCGTTGTCCCAATCCTCGTCACTTTCGAGGTGTCCCCTGTCCCTGTCCCCATCCCTTTCGGGGTGTCCCCAGTCCCCTGTCCCTATCCCCGTCACTTTCGGGGTGTCCCCTGTCCCCATCTCTTTCGGGGTGTCCCCAGTCCCCTGTCCCCATCCTCATCACTTTCGGGGTGTCCCCAATCCCCTGTCCCCGTCACTTTCGGGGTGTCCCCAGTCTCCTGTCCCCATCCTCATCTCTTTCGGGGTGTCCCCTGTCCCCATCCCCGTCACTCTCGGGGTGTCCCCTGTCCCCATCCCTTTCGGGGTGTCCCCTGTCCCCATCCCCGTCACTCTCGGGGTGTCCCCTGTCCCCGTCCCTCCCGGGGGTCACGCAGGGCCAGCCGTGTCCCCAGCCCTCCCGCGGAGCCCCCCCTGTCCCCCGTGTCCCCGTGTCCCCCCCCGGGCCAGCCCCGCTGGTTTGAGAGCGCGCTAAGTGCCCCTCTCGCGGCGTTAATCAAATTACCCGGCAGCGAAAATTGACGCTTCTCATTAATTAGCCACGATTATGCTAATTGCGCATTCAAATTTATGCGCCGCGAGCAGAAGGTGCTCGGCAGCGGCGCCGGGCATTTGCATATTCAATGGTAATTAGCGATGCTAATTAATGCGCCGGCCCCGTATTTTTAACTCGCGGGGGTTCAGCCCCAGCCCCCCTGCCTGGGGCTGGGATTTGGGGGATTTCGGGGGGATTTTGTGGGTTTTTTTCGGGGGGGTTTGGGGTTCTCCCCCGGCCGCGCTGGGCCGGGGATGGCGGGGCTGTTTTCGGGGCGTTTTTGGGGCGTTTTCCCGGTTTTTTTTGAGGCGTTTTGCAGCTCCTTCCTTGCCCTGATTACCACCCGCGGGGCGGGAATGGGATTATGGGAATGTGGGGAAAGGGGGGACCCCTCCCCTTTTCCTGTGCTGTCCCATAAGGTGGGACCCCCTTTTTGTGGGGTCGGAACCCCCTCAGTGTGAGATCCCTTTTTGTGGGGTCCCCCTTTTTTGGGATCCCATTTTTCCATGGGGAGCCCCTTGCTGTGGGACCCCCATTCCATGGGATTTGCTTTTTGTGGGATCCCCTTTCCATGGGATCCCCTCATCCATGGGAACCCTTTTTTTTATGGGATCCCCTTTCCCTGGGATCCCCACACCGTGGGACCTCCTTTCCCAGAATCCCCTTTTTTGTGGGATCCCCTTTTTGTGGGATCCCCTTTCCCTGGGACCCCCTTTACATGGGATCCTCCCCTCCATGGCAGCTCCTTTTTATGGGATGCCCTCCCCATGAGATCCCTTTTTGTGGGATCCCTTCATCCATGGGATCCCCTGATTTGTGGGATTCCCTTTTCCCTGGGATCCCCTCATCCATGGGACCCCTTTTTTGTCGGATCCCCATTCCCTGGGACCCCCCTTTCCATGTAATCCCTATTTTGTGGGATCCCTGAGATCCTTTTCCCCCCGTGACCCTTTTTTTTGTGGGATCCCCTCTCCCTGAGACCCCTTTTCCATGGGATCCCCTTTTTCTGGGACCTCCTTTTGTGGGATCACCCTTTTTATGGGATCCCCTTTCCATGTAACCCCTTTTGTGTGGGATCCCCATTCCCTGGGACCCCCTTTTTTGTGGGATCTCCTTTCCATGTAACCCCTTTTGTGTGGGATCCCCATTCCCTGGGATCCTCCTCCGTGTCCCCCCTGCCTGATCCGGGGGTGACCCCACTTGGGGTCCCCCAGATGTCCCCAAACTCCCTGTGACCCCGGGGATGGGCCAATGTTCCCAGGGGTGCTGGTGTCACCCCAGCAGGATGGGGATACTGGGATGGGGACAAGAAGGGACACTGGGATGGGGATGGGGACATTGGGATGGGAACAGAGCAGGACAAGGATGGAGACAGTGGGATGGGGATAAGAAGGGACACTGGGATGGGGACAGAATGGGACATCGGGATGGGGATAAGAAGGGATACTGGGATGGGGATGGAGACACTGGGATGGGGGCAGAGTAGCACAGGGATGGTGACAGGGTGGGACACTGGGATGGGGACAGTGGAATGGGGACAGAATGGAGACACCAGGATGGGGATGGGGACACTGGGATGGGGACAATGGGATGGGGAAAGAGCAGGACAGGGATTGGGACAAGAAGGGACAGTGGGATGGGGACAGAGCGGAACAGGGATGGGGACAGGATGGGGACATCAGAATGGGGATGGAGACAATGATGGGGTGGTGACAAGAAGGGACAGCAGAACTGGAACAGAATGGGACATTGGGATGGGGACAGGATGGGGACATCAGGACTGGGGATACGATGGGGACAGAATGGGGACACCAAGATGCGGATGGGGACACTGGGATGGGGACAATAATGGGGTGGTGACAAGAAGGGACGGCAAAACGGGGACAGGACTGGAACACCAGGATGGGGACAGGATGGGGACACCAGGATGGGGACAGGATGGGGACACCAGGATGGTGATGGAAACACTGGGATGGGGACAATGGTGACAAGAAAGGACATTGGGATGGCGGCAGAATAGGACATTGGGATGGAGACAACAGATGGGGACACTGGGATTTGGGGACACCATGGGGACATGTTTGTCCCCTCTTTTTTCCCCCCCCATTCCAGGTTTTTCCTCAAGTTTTTCCTCAAGTGCAACCAGAACTGCCTGAAAAACGCTGGGAACCCGCGGGACATGCGGCGCTTCCAGGTGACACTTGGGGACATCACCGAGAGGGTGGAGGGGACACCAAAAAGGGGTGCAGGTGACCCCAGAAAGATTCCCGAAAGGGGTCGAGGATAACTGGGGACTCGATTCCCCCCGACCCCTTTGAAAAATCCCGAATTTCCCACCACCCTAAAAAAATCTACCGCCACCCTATAAGAAACCCCAAATTTTGACCCCAAAAAGGGGTTCAGGTGACCCCAAAAAGATTCCCCAAAGGGGTCGAGGGGAACTGGGGGCTTGATTCCCCCTGTTCGGGGTGAATTGAGTCTCCAGTTCCTCTCGATCCCTTTGAAAATCCCCAATTTCCTGCCACCCTCTAAAAGGTGACACTTCCAGGTGGCACCTGGGGACATCATGGAGGGGATCCCAAAAAGGGGTTCAGGCAATCCCAAAAGGATTTCCTAAAGGGCTTGAGGGGAGTTGAGTCCCCAGTTTGCCTCAACCCCCTTGAAAAGTCCCAAATTTCCCACCATCCTAAAAAATCTACCGCCACTCTATAAGAAACCCCAAATTTTGACCCCAAAAAGGGGTTCAGGTGACCCCAAAAAGATTTCCCAAAGGTGTCGAGGGGAATTCAGTCCGAGTTCCTCTTGACCACTTTGAAAATCCCAAATTTCCCGCCACCCTAAAAAACCTACCGCCACCCTATAAAAGGTGACACTTTGAGGTGACACTTGGGGACATCACAGATGGGGTGGAGGACACCCCAAAGAGGGGTTCGGGTGACCCCAAAAAGATTTCCCAAAAGGGTTGAGGGAAATCGAGTCCCTAATTCCCATTGACCCCTTGGAAAAATCCGAAATTTCCCGCCACCCTAAAAAAATCTACCGCCACCCTGAACAAAACCCCAAATTTCGACCCCTAAAATGGGGGGTGAAGTGCAGGCGACCCCAAAAAGGTTCCCCAAAGGGGTCGAGGGGAATTGGGGACTCGATTCCCCCCGTTCGGGGGGAATCGAGTCCCCAATTCCCCTCGCCCCCTTTAAAAAATCCCAAATTTCCCGCCACCCTAAAAAATCCACCGCCGCCCTATAAAAAACCCCAAATCCGGCCTGAAAACCCCAAAATCTCCGCCCCCCCCCTCAGCCCCCCCGGTCGCAGGGATCTGGGGGAATTTGGGGGGCTGGGGGTGGCCTAAAAGAGGTTTGGGGTCCCATGGAGGGGCTGAGGGGGAAGAGATGGGGGAATTTGGGGGGTTGGGGGTGGCTCTAATGTCTTTGGGGTCCCCTGGGGGGAATTTGGGGGACTGGGGGTGGCCCTGAAAGGGGTTTGGGGTCCTCTGGGTGGAATTTGGGGGACTGGGGGTGACCCTAAAAGGGCCGCAGGAGGTCCCTGAGGTGGTGGCCCTAAAAGGAGTTTGGGGTCCCCTTGAGGAGCTGGGGTGGGGTCGGGGGTGACCCTAAAAGGGGTTTGGGGTCCCCTGGGGGTCCCCTGAGTGTCCTGGGGGAAGGAGCTCGGCAGGCTGGGGGTCCCCTGGCGGGGCTGGTGACCCCAGGCTGTGGGGGCCACCCTCGGGCCACTGCTGTGACACCGTGGGGACAGCACTGCTGGCACCTCCTGTGTGTGACAGGGATGGGGACATTGTGGGGACAACACAGCTGCCCCCCTGTGGTGTGACAGGGATGGGGACACCATGGGGACACCACATTCAGTGTCCACACGCTGTGCCATGGCCATGGCAGGGGAGGGGACATCATGGGGACAGCACAGGGACACCACACACAGCGTCCCTGTGGTATGACAAGGATGGGGACACCGTGGGGACACCACACACAGTGTCCCTGTGCTGTGACAGGGATGGGGACACCACACACGGCGTCCCTGTGCTGTGACAGGCATGGGGACACCGTGGGGACACCACGCACGGCGTCCCTGTGCTGTGACAGGGATGGGGACACCGTGGGGACACCACGCACGGCGTCCCTGTGCTGTGACAGGGATGGGGACACCGTGGGGACACCACGCACGGTGTCCCTGCGCTGTGACAGGGCTGTGACAGGGGAGGGGACACCCCTGGGACACTACAGGGACGCCACACCCAGTGCCCCTGCGGTGTGCCAGGCCAGGGGACACGGCGGGGTGACCGTGTCCCTTGTCCCCGCAGGTGGTGGTGTCCACCACGGTGCACGTGGACGGCCACGTCCTGGCTGTGTCCGACAACATGTTTGTCCACAACAACTCCAAGCACGGCCGGCGCGCCCGGCGCCTCGACCCCTCCGAAGGTCAGGGGACACCTGGGGACATTGTGGGGACATGTGTTGGGACCCTGCCAGCGTGGCCTGGCAGCCCCCTGGTGATCTCTGCTGTCCCCACCCTGCTGTCCCCACCCTGCTGTCCCCAGTGTTTGTGCTCGTTCATGGCTGGGTGTCCATGGGTGCCTCCCCACCTGTGTCACCATGGCCACCTGGGGACACCTGGGCACATCCTGGGGACATGTGTTGGGACCCTGCCAGCCTGGCCTGGCACCTCCCAGGTGATCCCTGTGTCCCCACCCTGCTGTCCCCAATGTTGGGTGGGCCATCCATGGGTGTCTGTCCCCATCTGTGTCACTGTGGCCACCTTGGGGACATTTTGGGGACATGCCTTGGGACCGTGCCAGTGTGGCCTGGCACCCCCCAGGGCGATTCCTGTGTCCCCACCCTGCTGTCCCCACCCTGCTGTCCCCGATGTCTCTGCCCATCCATGGTTGGGTGTCCATGGGTGCCTCCCCACCTGTGTCACTGTGGCCACCTGGGGACATCTTGGGGACATGCACTGGGACCCCGCCAGTGTGGCCTGGCATCCCTGGGGCGGTCCCTGTGTCCCCACCCTGCTGTCCCCAATGTTGGGTGGGCCATCCATGGGTGTCTGTCCCCATCCATGTCACCATGGCCACCTTGGGGACACCTTGGGGACAAGTTTTGGGAGCCCCCAGCCTGGCCTGGCACCCCCACGGTGATCCCTGTGTCCCCACCCTGCTGTCCCCACCCTGCTGTCCCCAAATGTCCGTGCCCATCCAGTTTGGGTGTCCGTGGGTGCCTCTGTTTGTCCCCACCCGTGTCACCGTGGTCACGTGTGTGTGTCCCCAGCCACATCCGTGTGGCCACCCGTGATTATCCCCATCTGTGTCTGTCCCCCGTCATGTCCCTGTGGCCACGTATGTGTCCCCAGCCATGTCCATGTCCCTGTGTCCCCATGTCTGTCCCAATTCGTGTCCCCATGTCCCTGTGGCCACCTGTGTCTGTCCCAGTCCATGTCCCTGTCTGTCCCAGCCCGTGCCCTCATGTCCCCATCAATGTCCATGTCCCCACACCTGTCCCCGTGTCCCCATGCCTGTCCCCACATCTGTCACAATCCACGCTCATGTCCCCATCCGTATTTGTGTCCCCATGGCGGTCCCCGTGTCCCTACATCTGTCCCACTCCATGTCCCCATGCCTGTCCCAGTCCATGTCCCCATGCCTGTCCCCTCTTCCCTGCCCCCACCCCACTGTCCCTGTCCCTGTGTCCCCATGCCTGTCCCCATGTCTGTCCCACTCCATGTCCATGTCCCTATGGCTGTCCCCATGTCCCCATGCCTGTCCCCTCTTCCTTGCCCCCACCCCACCACCCCAAAGCCCCCCCATCCCTCTGTCCCCGCCATTGCTGTCCCTGCCCTTGCTGTCCCTGTCCCCTCCCCACGGCTGTCGCTGTCCCCTCCAGCAGCCACCCCCTGCATCAAGGCCATCAGCCCCAGCGAGGGCTGGACCACGGGCGGTGCCACCGTCATCGTCATCGGGGACAACTTCTTCGATGGCCTCCAGGTGCTCTTCGGCACCGTGCTGGTGTGGAGCGAGGTACGGGCAGGCCGGGGGTGGCGCGGGGACACCTCGGGGACACCGCGGGCCGGGCTGAGGCCGTGTCCCCCCCGCAGCTCATCACCCCCCACGCCATCCGCGTGCAGACCCCCCCCCGCCACATCCCGGGGGTCGTGGAGGTGACATTGTCCTACAAGGCCAAGCACTTCTGCAAGGGCGCGCCGGGACGCTTCGTCTACACCGGTGAGGGACGGGGACAACTGGGGACAGCGGGGTTGGGGTGGGGACACCTGGGATTGAGATGGGGACACCTAGGAATGGGATAGAGTCCACTGGGATTGGGATAGAGACACCTGGGACTGGGATGGGGACATTGGGATTGAGATGGGGACACCTGGGAATGGGGTAGAGACTGCTGGGATTGGGGTGGGAACACCCGGGGTTGAGATGGATGGGGACATCAGGATCAGGATTGGGATGGGGATACCTGGGAATGGGGTGGGGACATTGGGATTGAAATGGTGACACCTGGGATTGAGATAGGGATATCCTGGAATTGGGATGTGGACATTGGGATTGGGAGGAGTACACCCAGGAACGGGATGGAGACATCAGGATTGGGATGGGGACACCTGGGAATCGGATAGAGAGTCTTGGGGTTGGGATAGAGACACCTGGGAATGGGGTGGGGATATCAGGATTGGGGACACCTGGGAATGGGATGGGGACATTGGGATTGGGGTGGGGACATGGGGATTGGGATAGGGATATCCTGGAATTGGGATGGGTACACCAAGGAATGGGATGGGGACATGAGGATTGGGGTGGGGACACCTGGGAATGGGATGAGGACACCTGGGATTGGGATAGAGAGTCCTGGGATTGGGATAGAGACCTGGGAAGGGGACACATAACCCCATAAAGGGGTGGAGGCCCCCAGGATTGGGATGGAGAGCCCTGGGACTGGGAAGGAGACCACGGTGACTGGGACTGGGAGCACTGGAACTGGGACGGGGACACCTGGGGCGGTGACACACACTCCTGAGACTGGGACACAAACGCCAGGAAGGGAACACAGATCCCCGGGAGGGGACAGAGCCCCCGTGACAGTGACACAGACAGCAGGGACAGTCGGCAGCCCCTTGGGACAGTGTCCTAGCCCCCAGGACATGGTGACAGTGACATGTCCTTGTCCCCTGTCCCCAGCCCTGAACGAGCCCACCATCGATTACGGCTTCCAGCGGCTGCAGAAGGTGATCCCGCGGCACCCCGGGGACCCCGAGCGCCTGCCCAAGGTAGGGGACAGCGACACCCCGGGACAGGAGGGACACCCCGGGACAGGAGGGACACCCCGGGGACACGGGGATTCCCTGGCACTGCCCCAGGGGCAAAGGGCAGGGAAGGGGTGACAGTTCTTGTGTCCCCCGGGTCTGGCAGGGCTTGGGGCAGGGAGGGATGGAGGGGGGGGGTGGGGTTTGGGACACGGAGGGGTCACTGGGGACACAGAATGGGGACATGGAGGGGTTACTGGGGACACAGAATGGGGACACGGGGGGACCATAGGGAGGACAAAGGGGTGGTCACTGGGGGCACAGAATGTGGGGGCAGGGGGGACACAGGGTCATTGGGGACACAGAATGGGGACATGGGGCGACCATGGGGACGCAGAATGGGGGGGTCAGGGGTGGTGATCAGGAGGGACACAGGAGGGACTTTGGGGACACGGGGGGGACCATGGTGGGGACAAGGGGTGGTCATTGGGGGCACAGAACAGGGAGGGTGGGGGGACACAGGGGCATCACTGGGGACACAGAATGGGGACACAGGGGGGCCATAGGGGGTGGGCTGGTCGTGCAGCGCCCCCTGACCCTCCTGTCCCCTCCCCTGTCCCCTCGCTGTCCCCAGGAGGTGCTGCTGAAGCGTGCGGCCGACCTGGTGGAGGCGCTTTATGGGGTACCCCACAGCAACCAGGTGTGCGGGGACCCCTCTGGGACACGCCTGGGACACCACTGGGACATCCCTGGGAACACCCCCCTCGGTTCCCCCCATCCTGGGACGTCCCCTGGGACCCCCTTGGGGACACCCCTGGGACCCACCACCCTGGGACACCCTCGGGTCCCCCCCTGCCACACCTGGAGGGGGTGGGGGACACAGTCCCCTCCCCAGCCCCCTCGTGGCCCGTGTGTGTCCCAGGAGGTGACATCAGCTGGGACAGTCCCAGCCACCCCCGGCCCATCCTGGGGTCACCTCGGGCTCTGTGGGTGGTGGGGTGACACCAAGGGTGACACCGAGGAGTGGCACTGAGAGGTAATGCCATGGAGCACCATCGAGGGGTGACAATGAGAGGTGACACTGTAGGGTGACACTGTGCTGAAGGGTGACGCTGTGGGGTGGCACAGAGAGGTGACACTGAAGGGTGGCACCACTCTGTGGGGTGACACTGTGGGGTGGCACTGCAGGGTGACATCAAGGGGTGACACTGCGGGGTGGCACCCAGGAGTTACTCTGTGGGGTGGCACCATGCTGGAGGGTGACACTGTGAGGCGACACTACGAGGTGGCACTGCGGGGCGCCGCCCAGAGGTGCCACCAAGCAGTGCCACCCTCACTCGGTGACACCACTGCCGTGTCCCCAGGACGTGCTGCTGAAGCGGGCGGCCGACGTGGCCGAGGCGCTCTACAGTGTCCCCAGGGCCCCCGCGCATGTCACTGTCCCCTCCTTCGGCGGGGGACAGCTCGGCCTCGCCATGGGCGACTCCCCGCAGGGCTCCGAACAAGGTGCGCGGTGGCCTCGGGGTGGCAGGAGGGTTTTTGTCCCCTCCCCGGCGGGTGCCACCTGTGGCTGTCCCCTCAGGGCTCTGACCAAGGTGCGAGGTGGCCTCGGGGTGGTGGGAGGGCTTCTGTCCCCTCTCCAGGAGGTGCCACCCATCCCTGTCCCCTCAGGGCTCCCCATAAGGTGTGTGATGGCATCGGGGTGGCCTCGGGGTGGCGGAAGGGCTTCTGTCCCCTCCCCGGCGGGTGCCACACGTCCTTGTCCCCTCAGGGCTCCCCATAAGGTGCGCGGTGGCCTCGGGGGGTTGTGTCCCCTCTGCGGGCGGTGCCACCGTGTCGCTGTCGCCTCAGGGCTGTGACCAAGGTTCAAGGTGGCCTCGGGGTGCGGGAAGGTTTTTGTCCCCTCCCCGGCGGGTGCCACCCGTCCCTGTCCCCTCAGGGCTCCCCATAAGGTGAGGAGAGGGAGCGGGGACATGGCCAGCTGAGGTGGGATGGTCCTGTCCCTGTCCTTGTCCCCATCCCTGTCCTGGCCCATCATTGTCATTGTCCCTGTCTCTCTCACTGTTCCTGTCCCCATCCCTGTCCCACACCCATCCTTGTCCCTGTCTCTGCCTCTCTTCCTGTCCCCATCCCTGTTCTTGCCCCATTCCTGTCCCCACCCCTGTCCCTGGCCCTGTCCCCATCCCTGTCCTTGTCCCTGTCCCCGCCTCTCTCCCTGTCCCCATCCCTGTTCTGGCCCCATCCCTCTCCTTGTCCCTGTCCCCATCCCCATCCCAGCTCCATCCCTGCCCTGTCCCCTCGCGGTGTCCCCTGCCCCCACCCGAGCCGTGTGTGGCTGTCCCCTCAGTCCTGCCCGCCAGTCCCCCTCTGGGCGCCTCGTCCGTCGCTGTCACCTCGGGCCCGGGCACGGCCACCTCGCCCGGTGGCTTCTCCTTCTCTCCGGTGACGATGATCTCGGCCGTGAAGCAGAAGAGCGCCTTCGCCCCCGTGCTGCGGCCACAGGGGTCCCCCCCGCCCGCCTGCGCCAGCGCCCTGCAAGGTCAGGCTGTCCCCAAGGCCACCAAGGTCTCTGACACCCAGCCCCAGGTGGCTCGTGCCCCATGGAGGGTCTCCAGTGTCACCACACTGCTGATGGCCTGTACCTGGGCATGGTTGGGGCTGCCCTGTGCCACCTGTGTCCCTCTCTGTCCCCACTGTCCCCAAGGTCCCTGACATCCGTTCCCAGCCCCATGGAGGGTCCCCAGTGTCGCCTCTCTGGCTCTCTGGTCAGGGCTCTGCTCTGTGCCACCCCTGTCCCCGTCCACCAGTGTCCCCAGGGTCCCCAAGGTCCATGACATCTGTCCCTGGGTGGCGCTGTCCCACAGAGGGACCTCGGTGTCACTGTAATCCTTGGACCTGCCTAATGTCCTGCCCATGGGCGTGGCTGGAGCTGCCCTGTGCCACTCTGGGGCCTGTCCCCCCGTGTCCTCAGTGTCCCCAACACCCAGCCCGAGTCCCCCTCCCCCACGGAGGGTCCCTGATGTCACCACACTCCCTTCCTGATGTCCCTGCCCGTGTGACGCCCATACCCGGGGTTGTCCCATGCCACCCGCGTTCCTGTCCAGCTGTGTCCCCAGTGTCCCCAATGTCCTCCGGCTGACGCTGTCCCTGCCCTGCCCAGACCCAGCTTTCGAGGACTCGGACAAATTCCACGCTCCGGCGCGGCCGCTCCAGGGATTGGCCTATTCCTAAGGAAGGCGTGTCCAGAGGGGCTCCGGACCCCCCATCCCGCCGGGACAAGGACTGGGGACATCCCTGTCCCCTGTGCCCTCCCCTCAGAGCTGGGCGGAGCCGCCACGCGGAGCGGGATGAGGGGACCCGGCCCCCTGATGTCCCCACCCCCGGTGGCCCCGGTCTGGCCCGGCTGAGGGGGGACTTGGGGCAATCCTGGAATGAGCCAAAATTCCTGGGTTCGGCCTCGGGAAGAGGCGGAGAGAGCCGGGAATGGGACAGAGGAGGGAGCGGGGTGGAGGCGCCGGGATGGGCGGGAGGGGTGGGCCAGGATGGGAGGGATGATCCAAGGTGGGATGGATGCTCCAAGGTGGGATGGATGTTCCAAGGTGGGATGGAAGCTCTGGAAAAGGAAGGATGATCCAGGTGCGATGGATGATCCAGGTGAGATGGAAACTCCAGGATGGGTTGGATGATCCAAGTGGGATGGATGCTCTGGGTTGAGATGGATGTTCCAGGTTGGGATGCGTGATCCAAGGCAAGATGGATGATCCAGGATGGGCTGGATGCTCCAGGTGGGATAGATGCTCCAAGGTTGGATGGATGTTCCAATATGGGATGGATGCTCCGGAAAAGGATGATCCAAGGTGGGATGGAACCTCCATGATGGGTTGGATGATCCAGGGGGATGGATGATCCAAGATGGGATGGATGTTCCAAGGTGGAGTGGATGATTCAGGAGGGCTGGATGATCCAGGATGGGATGAAAGCTCTGGAATAGGATGGATGATCCAAGGTGAGAGGGATGATCCAAGATGGGGTGGATGCTCTGGAAAAGGAAGGATGATCCAAGGCAGGATGAATACTCCAGGATGGAAGGGATGTTCTAGGTGGGATGGAAGCTCTGGAAAAGGATGGATGATCCAGGTGGGAGGGATGATCCAAAGTGGGATGGATGCCCTGGAACAGGGTGGATATTGAGGATTAGAGGGATCATCCAGGAGGAGATGGATGCTCCTGGGCAGGGGGGATGATCTGGAGTGGGATGAATGGATGGATGGATGGATGATAGATGGTGGGGAAGGACGGACGCTCCCGGGAGAGATGGATACTCCAAGGTGGGACGGATGATCCGGGTGGGAATATCCTGGATACCCCAGGACAGGACGGATGCTCCGGTGGGACCTGGCTCCTCCCGCCTTTCCCGGCTCTCTCCCCACTCCAATCCAGAGCCTCACCCACAATTCCAGAATCCGATCCCAGAATCCCAGATCCCGGATCTCCGCCTGTCCAGGATCAGGATCCTGATGCCACCCGGGGTGTGGGGACACCGCGGTCTGTGTCCCCTGCCATTAATTATCGCCATTATTATCGATATTAATGATCAGAATTATTTTGACCACAGGGAGGGGGGAGGTCCCTGGGTGTCCCTGGGGGTCCCTGTCCCCTCCCCCAGCCGGGAATTTTGTACATAAAACGGGAAGAATTCCCAACATTCCCCTTTTCCCCCGCTCGGGGGTGGCTCGTGTCCCTCCCCTCCGTGTCTGTCCCCTCTCGGTGTCACCGCGTGTCCCCCCCACCCCGGGCTGGGGGGTGACCCTCGGGGACAATGTCCCCCCCTCGCGGAGGTGGCGCAGGGCGTGGCCGGGGGCCCGAGTGGGAATTAAAGACCTCGTGGAAAACCTGCGACTCCCGGGATTTGTCACCCCCGGGATGGTGACACCGGTGTCACCCGCTGTCCCCACCCCTTGGGGACACAGCGGGGATATCCCCACGGCCAGCCCCGGCTCATTCCCAACGCCGGAATCCGGGAATGCTCCAGGCGCGGCTCCCGGGAGCTGCCCCAGCCCCGTGTCCCCTCCCCCAGGCCACCCCCGGTCCCCTCCAGCTGCGGTGTCACCTCTTGTCACCTCCCCCCGCCCCCGCGCGCCGGGATGAGCGCAGGAGGAGCTGGAATTAATTGCGTTAATCAAGAAAGGTTAATGAGGAGGTGGCGGTGCCAGCGCGGGCCGGGGGGGGGGAGGCACAGCTGGCACCGGCACGGGGATGGCGACAAAGAGCGGGGACACCGAGCGGCGACACGGGGCTGGCAGCGCGGCTGGGGACACCGCGTGACCCCCGGGGGGACAGCTGGTGACCCCCGTGGGGACGGGCCAGGCGTGCTGGGGATGGGGGTGACACCGTGACCAGCCTGGGGTGGTGGCACCGTGAGTGAGCACAGATGGCACGGGTGTTGGGGACAGTCACGGGTGTTGGGGACAGTCACGGGTGTTGGGGACAGTCACGGGTGTTGGGGACATGCAGAGGTGTTGGGGACAGGGGACATGCAGAGGTGTTGGGGACAGTCATGGGTGATGGGGACATGCAGAGGTGTTGGGGACAGTCATGGGTGATGAGGACATGCAGAGGTGTTGGGGACACACGTGGCACATGTACGGGGACACTCACATGACACATTTTGAGGACACACACAGGTGCTGGGGACAGACACTTGGCACAGGTGGTGGGGACACACTCAGGTGTTGGGGACATGCACGGGTGGGGGGGGCCTCTCAATGTCACAGGTGTTGGGGACACACATGTGGCACTTCCCATGGGGACAGTGACAGGTGGTGAGTTCATGCACAGGCGTTGGGGACATGAAGTGGGGACAGGTAAGTGGCACAGGTGGTGGGGACAGTCACGGGTGTTGGGAACATGCACAGGGTGTGGGGACACCTGGTGGGGACACACACGTGGCACTGGTGGTGGGAGGACACATGGCACACACTGTGGGGACAGTCACGGGTGTTGGGGACATGCACGTGGCGCGGGTGGGTGGGGACACACAGATGGCACACGGGGACACGTGTGGCACATGCCATGGGGACACTCACAGGCGGTGGGGACATGATGGGGACATGCGCACGTTGGGGACAGGTGGTGGCACTTGTCACAGGGACACTCAGGTGATGGGAACTTATCCAGGTGCTGGGGACACGCACGTGGCACACCGTGGGGACAGTCACAGGTGCTGGGGACATGAGGTGGGGACAGGCAGGTGGCACAGGTGTTGGGGACACACATGTGGCATGTGCTGTGGGGACAGTCACAGGTGCTGGGGACACACGTGGCACACTGTGGGGACAGTCACAGGTGCTGGGGACATGCAGCGGGGACACGCCCGTGACACAGGCGGTGGGGACACTCGCAGGGCTTGGGGACGCTCACGCGGCGCAGGGCTTGGGGACATGCACCGGTGGCCCTTCCCATTCCCGTGGGTGCCCTCGGCTTTGGCCGCTACCAAATCCTGAATTTCCCCCAAATCCCGAATTTCCCCCAAATCCCCAGGTCCCAATCCTGGCTCTGCAGGGTTTGGGGTCGTGGCTGATCCTGGGATCTGGGGCCAGGAAAAATGGGAAGGGATAAAGCCAAAGAGGGAAAAGCGGGAATGGAGTTGGATAAACCCAAAGGGGGAAAAGCAGGAATGGGATAAACCCAATGAGGGAAAAGCGGGAATGGGATAAACCCAAAGAGGGAAAAGCGGGAATGAGGGGATGGGATCAGGGGCATATCAGGGAAAAGGGGATCCCAGATTCCAGATCCCATCCAAGTTTGGGGCGGGACTGGGGATCCCAGATTCCAGATCCCAATCCTGTCCTGGTTTGGGGTGAGATCAGGGATCTGGATCCCAGACCCCATCCTGGTTTGGGGCACGATCAGGGATCCCAGATCCCATCCTGGTTTAGGGCAGGATCAGGGATCCCAATCCCACCCCTGTTTGGGGCAAGATCAGGGAACCCAGATCCCAGATCCCATCCCAGTTTGGGGCAGGATTGGGGATCCCAGATCCCAAATCCATCCTGGTTTGGGGCAGGATTGGGGAATCCAGATCCCAGATCCCATCCCGGTTTGGAGCAGGATCAGGGATCCCAGATCCCATCCTGGTTTAGGGCAGGATCAGGGATCCCAATCCCACCCCTGTTTGGGGCAAGATCAGGGAACCCAGATCCCAGATCCCATCCTGGTTTGGGGTGAGATCAGAGATCCCAGATCCCAATCCCATCCTGGTTTGGGGCAGGATCAGGGATCCCGGCTCCCAATCCCACCCTGGTTTGGGGCGGGATCCCAGAGCCGCTTTCTGGGAAAGGCCCGGGCTGGAAAGAATTCCCAAAAATAGCCGGGGGCGGGGCCGTTCCCAGCTGTTCCCGCCGGGAATGCGAATCCCATAACGGGGGTGGGGAACCCAAAATCCCCCTGGGGACACAAAAAGGGGGTTGGGAACCCCAGATTCCCATCCCAGGGAAAACTGGGGAGGTGGGGATCCCAAAATTCCCTCCTTAGGGACCCGGGGGGATTGAGGACCCCAAAATCCCCTTGATGTCCCCAGAGTGGGGTTGGGGACCCGAAAATTCCCTCCCTGGGGACAGTGAGGGAGTGGGAACCCCAAAATCCCTCTAAATGTCTTCTAGGGAGGGGTGAGGACCCCAAAATTCCTGTCTTGGGGACAGTGGGGGGGATTTGGGACCCCAAAATTCCCCTCAGGACACAAAAGGAGGGTTGGAGACCCCAAACAGGGAGGGGTGAGAGACCCCAAAATTCCCTTTTGGGGACACTGGGGGAGTGGGGACACCAAAATCCCTCCCGATGTCCCCAAAGGGGAGGGTGAGGACGCCAAAATTCCTGTCTTGGGGACAGTGGGGGGGATTTGGGACCCCAAAATTCCCCTCAGGACACAAAAGGAGGGTTGGAGACCCCAAAATTCCCTTTTGGGGACACTGAGGGAGGGGGGCAACCAAAATTCCCTCTTGGGGACAATTTAGGGCTGTAGGGACCCCAAAATCCCTCTCGATGTCCCACAGAGGGGGTGGGGACCCCAAAATTCCCACTTTGGGAAAACTGAGGGGGTGGGGACCCCAAAATTCCATCCTGGCGACAATGGGGGGGGGGTGGGGACCCCAAAACCCCTCCCGATGTCCCCAAAGAGGGGCTGAGGACCCCAAAATTCCCTTTCTGGGGACACTGAGGAAGTGAGGACCCCAAAATTCCCTCTTGGGGACAGTTTGTGGCTGCAGTGTCCCCCAAATCCCCCCGATGTCCCCAAGGGGGGGTGGCGCCGCAGCCCCGCCCCTCCCCCACCCCCGGGGCCGGGTCCCTTTAAGGGAGGCGGAGCCTTGGAGGGGGGAGGGGGGAAAATCCCGGGATTTTTTTGGCCTTGGGGGGGGGGGGGGGGAAAAACCCGGGTTTTTTTTTTTTTTTTTTTTTTTGGGAAGGGGGGGGATGCAGAGGGGTGGGGGAGGGGACGATGCTCCGCGTCTTCGTCCTGCGGGCCGAAAATGTCCTCACAGGCGACAGCGACATCAGCGACACCTACTGCTCCTCCACATTCCAAGGTGGGAAGCTCCAGAGGGGGAAAAAAAGCCCCGGGATTTGGGGTGGTTTTGGGGGATTTTTGGGGATTTCGGGGAGATTCGGCCACGCCCGGCTCCGTCCTAAAAGTTGGGATGGGGCTGGAAGAGCCGCGGGTCCCCCCCTGTCCCCGTTGTCGCCGCCACCCCTTTGGCGTCCCCTCCCCATTCCAAAGTGTGAAACTCCAGAGGGGAAAATAATCGGGATTTAGGGGAATTTTGGGGGAGTTTTGGCGGCCCTAAATGTCGGGATGGGGTTGGAAGCGCCGCCGGTCCCCGCTGTCCCCGTTGTCGCCGCCACCCCTTTGGTGTCCCCTCCCCATTCCAGCGTGAGAAGCTCCAGAGGGGCAAAAAAAAAACACCCCAAAATTCTTGTTTGGATAAATTTGAGGGAATTTTGTCCCGAGGAGCTGGGATGTGGCTGGAAGAGCCGCGGGTCCTCGCTGTCCCCGTTGTCGCCGCCCCCTCTTTGGTGTCGCCACCCCGCTGGTGGCACTTGGGGACCCCCCTGAAGCCACCCCCGGTCCCCGCGCGGTGCCGGCGCCGCGGTTATTTTGGGATTTTCCTCAGGGCGGGGGGGAGGGGACGATCCCAAATTTGGGAATTGTCTCTTCTAGGGGTCCCTTCCCGGGGTCCTTTCCCGCTGGGGACAAAAGTGACATTGAGGGGACAAAGGACAAAGTGACGTCACGGGTTG